AGCCAAACCAGTCAGGAGCCCAAGGGCAGCAGTTCCACTCACTTCAGAGCATTTAAAAAGAACCACAAAGATTGTCAGGCCCATTATTTGGAGGATGACCACAAAGCCATTAAATACCTGTGGAGCCACTTTGTGAAAAAAACTGCTCTGGGTTGAGAACATCACCTGGTGAACTTCCCAAAGGCAGCAGCAATTTCAGATATTGCTCTGGCATTCCAGCCAGGATTTATGGCACATTAACAGCTCTCATGCAAAGAGCTGATTTGACTTTCTGAGTACCAAATGTGTCACAAACAGCTTTTAAATGCAAAGGTTCAGACCTGTGCTGAGCCACCCAGCAAAAACCACTTGGGTTTTCCATGAGCAGCTCCACGGAGCTGATAGAAAAACCCTTCCCTTGCCAGGAAAAAACCTTTTCCCTTCCCTTTTCCACAGTGCCTTCCCTCCCTCGCCTGCTCCTGTGCCAGCCCTGCCACAGCTCAGGGACCTGAGCGAGCAGAAGAAGCAGCCAGCAGCAAACCTTGGCCAAATCAGCTCCTTGAAATGAGATTCCTGACAGGAGAATCCTGCCAGAGCAAGGAGAACGTCCTGGGCTGGGGAGAAGGAAGCAGCGGGGTGGCACCACAGCTGGCAGAGGTTGGGATGGAGCTGAAACCTCTGCACACCTTTCCCACTGAGTAACTGAGGCTGCTGTGATGCCTCAGGTTTTAGCTTTTCTATTTTTCACATTCTGTGCTGCTTTAGTGTGTGGGTCTGGGCTTCACATTATGGGATGGTGAACTCTGTGCACAGAGCAGGGAGACAAAACAATTCCTGCTCCAGCTGGGGATCAAGGACAAATTGTCACATTTTCTGAAAAATCCCTTTGCCAGGATTTCTTCTCCTGGGAAGCTGACAAGCTTCAGAAAAAAAGGAAAACAATTTTATCTCATTTGCTTCTCCTGTGTTTTGCTGCATTGGAATGTGGTTGGAGATTGTTTATCCAACAAGTGAATTGTTTTAAGTTAATGACCAATCACGGTCAGGCTGTGTCTGGACTCTGGAAGGAGTCACAAGTTTTCATTATCATTCTTGCTAGCCTTTTGTCTGTATCCTTTCTCTATTCTTTAGTATAATTTTAATATAGTATTCTTTAATATAATATAATATCATAAAATAATAAATTAGTCTTCTAATTTATTATGGAGTTTAACATGGAGTCAGATTCATCATTTCCTCCTTCATCCTGGGGACCCAGCAAACACCACAACAAATGATCCCAATGCCAGCCCAGGAGCACAAACCCCGTGGGCTGCAGAGAGAAAAACAAGGATGGGAGTGCAGGGGCTGCACTGGGGTTGGACACTGAACTGCAATGTGCACATGGAGCAGAGCTGAGCCCAGGGTAGGCCAGCCTTGATAAGCTGATCTGCTCAGACATTCCCCTGCTCACCTGGGTGCCCAAGGGGACCAGGATTTTTTGCCATTAATTCCCTTAAAAACCAGACAGGGACTCAGGTTCCTGCAGGAGAGCCCTAAAATTCATCTCCAAGTGCTCTCCCAGGACTCCTGGCCAAGTGTGACCCAGCAAATGCAATTTAAATGCAGCTTTTCTGCAAGATCACTGCCCAGCACCAGGCCCAGATGTGAGGCACAAAACGCTCCCATTTCCCTGCTCCTTCCCTGAAATGCCATTCCCTTGGATAAGGAAGGAGATGAGGATGGTGGAGCATCCTGAAGAGAGGTTTCTCAAGGCTCAGTGTCTGCTATCCCCAGCTCTGCAGCAGCACAACAGGAGTGTGTGGGCAGAGAGGAGGCTTCAGTTCCTCCCTCCCCAGTTTCCTTATGGTTTCAGCAATGTTTGGGCTGCTAAGTGACACCAATTTTGGAAAACATGGGAAAGCATTAGACAGAAAAACCCCCAAAAAAAGGAACATATTAGTTGTCAGTCTAATATGTTCTCCTCAGCAGACAGCCCACCAGAGAACCTGCTAAAGATTTATGTCCCAGAGAAAATACGTGTCATTTTCCCTCTCTTCTGTGGGAGGGAGAAAAATATAGACCCCAAAAAACTGAGAATCATCAACTACAAATGTATCACTAAGAAAGGGGAGAAGATCTCTTGCTTGGAGGCAAATGGCTCCAGCCTGATCCTGCATCCATGAGGCTGTTCAGGAGGATGTTCCACCCACTCCTGCACTGAAGACCTCAATTAGCTCCACACAAAATGCCAAAATTTAAACTCTAAACAAATTTCCCCCCCTTCTCCCATTGATGGAACAACATGACCAAGGGCTACACTTGGTGTGAGACAAGGAAATAACTTCAAATGGTGTTTTCCTGAACAAGGCTGCTCTAATATTTTGACAAACTGCTTTTGTTTGTTTGTTTGTTTTCTAGCACTCGCCTACCCACTGGAAAAGGTCACTCTGTCTTCTGTGTTACTCCTCCATTCTCAAAGAAGGTCAAAAATATTTCATATCTGCATGGTTTGTACCTCAGCACTGCTCAACACTGAGTGTCTCACACTACACCAGAGCCTGGTGCAGTTATTAGGGAGCTTTCAGAAATCCAGCTCCAAAAACGAGCTGCAGAAAACAACTCCTCCCCCACAAGCCCCAATTTGCAGCCCACCACGAGTTCCTGTTATTTGGTGAAGATAACCCTGCTGTAACATGAATTTGCCTGGGTTTCACACGCAGAGATGCACAATGCACACGTACAGAACATTTTCCCTGGAAATTCCACTCGTGTGAGATTGTTCTGCTGTGCTAAATTCCATTCACTGGGGCTTGAAGGAATTGCATTGCTTCCCTGAGCCACTTCCTCCAAGTTTTCAGCCTCCCCCAACAGCTTTAAACATTTTTAAAACTGAGTTTTCTGCTCCCTCTGCTGCAAATATAAGATCTCCCCTCCAAAAATTATCCTTACACAGAAAAGCAGGTTAGAGATAATTTAGGCTTTGGGATCAAAGGTTTTTTTACACTCTAAGGTAAAAATATTTTAAGCCACTCCAGTGAAACTAAGGTACAAACACCAACAAGATTTTGAACAAAGAAATGCAGCATTTCCTCCCTTTCATGCCAGTCAATCAATGCTCATCTCTTACCTTAAACCAGCAAGTTATGGATCTTAAAGTGCTGCTTTTATGCATTGTAAAAGCTCTTTTGGAAGCTTTTCTGACTCCCCCTGACACCCAAGAACAATGAAACCTTTCCTAGGGGGCTGGTTTTGTTTTTCTTGGCACACTTTTCCCAGAGATCTTGGTCAGACATTTTCTGCCCAGCACAGGAAAGACTTTCAGTGCTCACACCTCCACAGGCTTTGAGTTCTAGCAATGCTGTTCAGGAACAGCCAAGAGAAATCACTCCAAATTTCACCACACACCAGGGCTGAGCCCATCCCAAACTCCCACAGAGGATGGGAATATCCAGCCCTGCTGCACTGAAGGAACAGTCAAAACCTTACTCCAAGGTTTTGTCTTTCTGGAGCAAAATCTGCAGAACTCCAAGCTCAAAGTTTTTCTGGGCCTCATGGATCACAGGAAGATGGCTGCAGATTCCCCATCCCAAATCCATTCGACAGATCCATTAAATTTAATTCTTCTTGTTTACTCTTCTCTTATTTATTCCCACTTCAGCTGTGTGACATTTTCTGTTGTTCAGAAAACCCCTCCTGAACCTCTGGCTGGACGTTTCCAAGCAAATTTTTGCAAGAACAGTATCTCAAGCAGTGCCAAGGGAAATTCAGGCTGGAGAGCAGGAAAAAGCTTTTCCAGCAGGGGATAAAGCTCTGGGATGGCTGCCCGGGGAGGGGGTGCAGTCACCATCCCTGGGGGTGTTTGACCAGCCTGGATGTGGCACTGGGGGCCAGGCTCTGCCTGAGCTGTTGGGCTCCATGGGCTGCAAGGTCTCTCCCAACCTGGTAACTCTGTAAATTCTGTGAAAGGAGCTGCAAGTTTGTGGCATAGGGAAAAGTGATGGAGATTCCTTTGATAATAATTCCTCTAGAAAGACAATTATGTGGATAAGGAGTCAGTGAAAGGGATTGAAGGCTCACACCTTGCATTTATCATGTGCAAGTATTTAAAGTCATTGGGATATTTGGGTAAGGAAAAGAAAATCCTGCATCACTGCACAGTCAAACAATCCTGCAGAGCAGCAGCTACAAACCAGCCCAAAACTGAAAAAGTGAGTTAGGGCAGGAGGCAGAGAGCATTTTCCATCACCAGCCCAGAGCTGGAATGACCAACATAAATCCTTCCCCCTCCTGTAAATAATGCCAGGCTCACTTCTTTGACCTCCTCTATCACACAGCAGGTGAAGTTCCACATCTGTGCACTATGCATAAAGGTAATCTCCAAATAAATAAATAAAAACATACCAGACATGTGTTTAGTACAACACAAAACACACATCACAGCAAGAATGAGAGAACAGACATGTGACAGATGAGAGCTCTGCTGCCTGAGAGAGCCTCAGATCCCTGGGTGAGAGGCACAGCACCTGAACAAAGCCTAAGCAAGGCACAGCTTTAGTCTCTTGCAGTTAAGAGGAAGAATCAAATAAGAATTTGCTGCAAACACGCCGGCAGCAAGTGTCTGAGCTGCCTAAAGCCAGCCATAATGACAGCAGAAGACAAGCCATTAGAGCTGTGACACTTTATAAGACAGGCATGACATGGTAACACAGAACAAAAATGTCACTTTGAAAGCTGCTGATAAATCACTTGGTAGGCAAAAGGAATCAACCTTTCCAAACACCATAAGGAAGAATCCATGGGATTTTTTTTTTTTTTTGCTGATATTTAAGCTCTTTGGAGTTTTACAATCTGTTGTAAATGTGGCCACTTACCAAAAAAAACCAAAGATAAATCTCAGCACTGCTGAGTGTTGAGCAGGTATTCTCTGGTTCTGAAGGGGTTTTGCATTTTGTTTGTGTTTTTTGGAGTTATTTGTATTATTTTTCATTTTTTATAGCTATGTTCCAAGCTGAAAGCGTGCCCACCTGAGGGATTCTTACCTGCAGGACATCCTGGATCTTCACCCACACGTCCACCATGTCGTAGAGCTTGATGTCCCCATCGTGCTGGCTGCAGGGGGAGGCCACAGTCTGCTGCAGGTGGCCCAGCACCACGGCGTGCGCGGCAGCCACGGCGTTGAACTTGTCAAAGAGCAGCTCCAGCAGCTCCAGCAGCAGCCTGGCAACCAGAGAAACAGCCCTGCTCAGCTTCTGGAACGTTCCACAGGCTCGCGGCAGGGCAGGGGGACAGGGCGCTGTGGTTTCATGTCCTGCTTTTGTGGCATGCTGAGGTCACCTCTCTGTGGGATCAGGGGATTTATTGTGTTTGTGGGGTGCCCTCGAGGCAGGGAGGAATGATGGATCTCACTCCATGTTCTTAGAATGCTAATTTATTATTTTATGATACTATATTATGTTAAAGAGTACTAAAGAACACAGAAAGGATACAGACAGAAGGCTAAAATATAATAATGAAAACTCGTGACTCTTTCCAGACCCCTGACACAGTTTGGCACTGATTGGTCATTAAGTCAAAACAATTCAAATGAAACCAATGAAACAATCATTTATCCTATTGGATAAACAATCTCCAACCACATTCCTAAGCAGCAAAACACAGGAGAAGCAAATGAGATAATATTGTTTTCCTTTTTCCCTGAGGCTTGTCAGCTTCCCAGGAGAAAAATCCTGGGCAAAGGGATTTTACCAGAAAACATGAATGTGACAGGGACTCATTTCAGCTCAGGTTTGGTATCTGATAATTCCTGAGGATTTTTCTCCTCATTCCCTTCCCTATATCAGCATTTCTCACTCTAAAAGTGTCCTGTTTAGGGCTACAGGGAAGACAAAACCCATTAATAAAGCCACAGTAATTAAACTGGACTAACATAATATTAGAGCCCATTGTGGGAGCCCAGGCAGGGAGGGAAACAACCTGCTCTTCCCCCAGAAAAAACAAGTGTGAGTTCCAGGGCAATAAAAACTGACTTACCCACACAACCAGGATAAAAGGAATTATTTTTGAGTTATTAAATTAATATGGCAGGTTTCAAATGACAGAAAGCTAAATACCAACCCTCATCACTTGCCATGATTATACTCCTATATAGCTTACATTGTTTTACTCCTGTTTGCTAGAGCAATAACATAATCTAAATGCACTGCACTCTACCTGCTCCCATGGCTCCCCACTGCCCAATTATCACAATTAAAGCACCTTTGCAAAGTCCTGACCAGTCTGTGACTGTGGCAGCACCATCACACTTGTTCCTGTTGGAGAACAGAAAAATCCCTCTGGAGTTCAGCGCCGTGTAATGAGCAGCTCGAGTCCCCACATAACCCCAGCAAAACGTGGAGATAACACTTCCCAAATCCATATGTTAGGCACTTGTAGCTCTGACAGACAGGCTCCATCACAGTTCCTGCAGCAGCTTTGGAGCCACCACATGCTCCCAGTCTGCCCAGAGAAGCTGCGAGCCCCAGGGCAGGACAGGGCAGGAGCTGCTCCCACTCTTTCTCCAGCAGCTTCAGTGCCCACAGGAACAGGGAATGGGACTGGGGACACCCTCAGGATCATCCCTGGGCACTGTCCCAGGCTGCTCCAAGCTCCAATGTCCAGCCTGGCCTTGGGCACTGCAGGGATCAGGGGCAGCCCCAGCTGCTCTGGCAATTCCAGCCCAGCCAGCAATTCCTCATGGCCAACATCCCATCCATGGCTGCCCTCTGGCACTGGCAGCCATTCCCTGGCTCCTGTCCCTTGTCCCCAGTCCCTCTGCAGCTCTCCTGGAGCCCCTGCAGGCCTGGAATGTGCTGGAAGCTCTCCCTGGAGCCTTCCCTTCTCCAGGGAACATTCCCAGCTCTCCCAGCCTGGCTTCAGCCCTCTGAATTAATTTGTGACCTTCTTGACTCAAACTTTTTGATTTGACTTTTCTCCATTTTTATTTTAATCATTGTAAATCTATACCACGTTTTGAGGCCAAGAATTACAGCAGGATTGTGGCCATTTCTCTCTGAAATGCTAAGAGCTTCTGTTGTAAGGGACAAAACACTCACTACAGAAGGCCTAAACTACAGAAAACATTGGGCTTGCTTTCTAATCACATCTGGAAATTGAAATCTTTACATCTTAGCTCTGATAAGAAGTGCTGGCTTTCCAATAAAAACTAGTTTTTCTCAAAATCTTCAGAATTTTTTTTAAAACCTGCATTTCCCTAATTATTTTTTGAAGGTCAGCTTTGGCCCTGAGCCACAATATCTGTAACAAAAAAATTTAAAAGCCATAGATATAAAGTGCCACTGGAACCAAGATACCTATTCAAACAAAACCCAATAAATTGTGTATGGATCCCTTTTCTTCATATTTCAAAACAGCAGCAAATGCTAAAAGATGTGACATTATGGCACCAAATTAATTCTTTATCACTGAGAAAATGTTCTCAGTGCCAGCCCAGCTTCCTCCAACATCCCATGACAAACTCAGTTATCCCTACACCTCTTTGCTGCCCCAGGAAAGAAGAATTTTGCAGAACTGAACTGCCTGGAGAGTGTGGCATTCATATTCTTTGAACATAATTCCTTCACCCAGGGTTTTTCTCCTGGGAAGTTGAGAAGCCTCAGAGAAAAGGAAAACAATTCTTATCTCATTTGCTTCTCCTGTGTTGTGCTCATGTGGAATTTAGTTGGAGATTGTTTACCCACAGGTGATTGTTTCATTGGATTCTCGTGCGTTGTTTTTACTCTTTGGCCAATCAGGGCCAAGCTGTGTTGGGACTCTGGAAAGAGTCACAAGTTTTGATTATTATCTTTTTAACATTCAGTAAGTATCCTTTCTGTATTCTTTAGTATAGTACAGTTTAATATTCTTTAATATAATATAGTATAATAAAGTAATAAATTAGCCTTCTGAGAACATGGAGTGAGATTGATTGACCCCCTGCCATGGGGTCCCCTGCATTTACAACAGGAGAGTTGGACAAATTAACTTTATTCTCACCAGGTGAGCCTGACCTCACATTATCCACTTGTTCATGGAGCCATGAGTAAGATACCACTGCACTGTCAGACCCTTTTTGTTTGGAATTCCAGTGTCTCCCTGCTCCCACTTTCCAGGCTGATGGACATGAAATCCCCAGATCCAGAATCCAGTGTCTGCAGCTGCCACCGCAGCACATTTCCACTCTCATCACTGTGTTCCCACATCTCCCTGCTTTCAGCTTAGCCAGCACCTCTTATCTTATTTCCTTTTCCCCAAAAGTCCTATAAATCTGTCAGGTCATCTTTGAAAGAAGGTGACCCAAAAGAGACCCAGGCAACGAGACAAAACCCATCAAATTAATGTATTAATAGATATCTCAAATTGCATCAGATGGCCTGGCCTGGATGGGGCTGGGGCAGGGAGTGCCCTGAGCTGAACAAGGACACACAGTGACAGGAAAATTTGTCACAGCCACCTCATAACCCCTGCACCCAGAGAGAGGGGAAACGTGCTGGGGACAGTGACACACAGCCAGGAGGGACTCCCATGGTCCAGGCAATAATGGGAGTGAAGTGGTGCCACCTGAGAGAGGACAATAGTGACAGTTCAGGTGTTTCAGGCTGTGCTTGGCCTGGACATAATTCCTGGGTTTGTTTCAAAGCCTGGAGATGAAGGCAAAAGTCACAGTATAATATGGATGTAGTAATAATAGGGAAATAATAATAGTAACAATATAATAATAAAGTGTATAATAAGTAAATAATAATAACAATATAATATGGATGTAGTAATAATAGGGAAATAATAATAGTAACAATATAATAATAAAGTGTATAATAAGTAAATAATAATAACAATATAATATGGATGTAGTAATAATAGGGAAATAATAATAGTAACAATATAATAATAAAGTGTATAATAAGTAAATAATAATAACAATATAATATGGATGTAGTAATAATAGGGAAATAATAATAGTAACAATATAATAATAAAGTGTATTAGTAACAATATAATAATAAAGTGTATAGTAAGTAAATAATAATAACAATATAATATGGATGTAATAATAATAGGGAAATAATAATAGTAACAATATAATAATAAAGTATATAATAAGTAAATAGTAATAACAATATAATATGTTATAATAATAGGGAAAAGCGCGTCAAAGCATGAGGATTTAGGAGCAAAAGTGTCAATCTCCCATCTCTCCATGGACTGGATTTGTAATGTTTCCTTACCAAAATGTCCCATAAATCTCTCCTTCAAGTAGGCATCCATCCACATTGTTATTCTAAAGTGCAAACTCTTCCAAAATTCAGGAGAGCCCCCACAGAACCCCAGAAAAGGATTTCTAAATGTGATTGTGTGATTAATGAGCCACTAATTAAGGATGAGGCAGTGGCAATTCCTATAGTTAAGCCTTTCTCCATAAACTTCTTTCAAGCACAGAGATCTAAAAATGTTAGAGAATTTCTCTAGACTTTAAAATTGTCCACTTAAAGCTGAGCTCAGCTAAAACGTGGTGAGATTCAGGCAGAGTTTTCAAAGTTATCTTCCCCCAGGGACAAGGAGCTACTTGGAACCTGCTCCTGCCCTTCCTGAAGTTCTGAGGATCCGAGAGAGCACCCAGAGAGTCACCACAAAAACCAGAAAAATCTGGAGTTTAAAAATCTGGGAGTCATTAACAATATTTTTATACACAAATGTAAAAGACGGCAGCACAAAGCTACGTGGAAAAGCTTATTAAGGAAGGAAGGAAAAGCGAATTAAATTTAAAAAGCAGCAAGAATGAGATCAGCAGTGGCTGTTATCAGATCTGCAGCTTTTCTGGCCAGGTTCCACAAATCATTTCTGTCTTGTACAACAAGAGGGGCTCTAAATCATTGCTGCATGGGGTCTCCAAGGGAATTACACCACGATTTCCCCAAGCAGAACATCAGCCTCAGCCTTGGTCACAGGATGGTTGGGGTTGGAAGGGACTTCAAGGATCATCTGACAGTTTAATGAACAGTTCAGCAGTCGTGGGCACTGCACTGAGCTCAAATTTGGGGTTTACAGAGCTCTGTTGAAGCAGCAGGGCCTTGTTGTTCAGATTTATTTTCTTCCCCTGACAGCAGGGAAGTCTCTGAGCTTTGATTTAGAAGTGAAGCTAATTTAAGGGGTGGGGACACCCTTCCATCCTGTAATTTATTCTTTTCAATATAAATGAATTCACCTGCTTGCTGTAAACTTCAGGTGTGATTTAGGTTTAGAACCAGTTCTAATTATGTCTGTACTCCACAAGAATTCAGGACACTTTCCATGAGCATCTGAAAGGCTCACACTCTGCAAGAGATGCCAAAACCCATTAAACCTTTGTGTGCCTCACTCAACCCTCTGGGCAGGTTAATGGCATTGATATAGACCTGATCCAATTTATCAATTCCAACAGACAACCAGGAGCCACACAACCTCTCCAGACTGGTTCATAAAACAAGTATAAGAGTAAGTTATACTCCTGGCATCAGAAACTAAAATTCTGCCTTCTGACCCATCTAAAAAAAGCTCATTTTCACTGAGTTACCAGTCTTCAAAACAGAATTGTTTCCACAGCAGTGCTAATGAGAGGAATTAAAAAAGGAGTTTTTATCAAGCTGATGTTTTCCTTGGGAGTGATTTTCCACTACAAATATTGCACATAATGAAGATACACACTTTACTTTTCTGCCATTAATTCCCTTTGGACAATGATCACCACAATGTGGAGATGAACATTTCAGCTGGAAGAGATTCCTGCTGGAATCCTTGTGTTCCAAAGGCCAGTTCCAGTGAATTCTGAGGAGCAGCACAAACACAGTGCCCAGTTGGCTTCCACACCTTGCCATTAATGTAAATGGGGCTGCAAAACAATTAGAGACTTGGCCATACAATTGTGCTAGAATTAGTTCCATACATGATTTCAGAGCTTTGCACCTGCAGCAGCTTAATTGGACTCTGCTACACTCGAAATCACCCAGCTGAATTTTCTCATTTTAACTCATATTATCAATTAGGATTTTTTTTTTCTTTTTTTTTCTTGCAGCAATTAAAGGCTGGGAGTTGAAATCTCCTTACCTAGGCTGATTTTCCTGGGAGATGTTCTCCCCTCTCTGGTAGCCACTGTCAGCCACCTGAGTGGTGGAGCGCTTCACAATCTGCTTGAGCTCCTGTTCCAAGCGATCCTGGATGGCTTTCACTGTTTCTGGGATTTTCTTCAGCTTGGCCAGCCCCTTGATGAGGATTCCCATGAAGGCAGCACTGTTCTCCTCTGGATCCAGCTCTGTGTCCTCTTTGATTTCCAGAAGGCTGGAGTCTCGCACTGGAAGAGATTTTAATCCCAGATTTTAGCAGGAACCCAACATCAGCATCCTGAGGAAGCAGCTTGGGAGCTCCTCTGGCTTCAGAGAACTCCCAGCATGTGGAGCAAGCAAGGATGAACAAGGAAACCAGAAACACTTGGATTTTGAGGGGAAGCAGAGGATGTTTCTGTTTGCTTGGGGGCTTCCCTGGACATAAACACAGCAGCTCACAGATTTAATTGATTTAGGAACAATTCATGATTTAGGAGCAATTGATTTAGAAACAATTCATGGTGAAAATTCTGTGTTAGGAAATAAAGGAAGTCTGGCACAATCAAAATATTCATAAATGAGAAGGTTCAACATCCCTACAAATCCCCTGAATGTGTTTCAAGGTGCTAAAACCCCCTCAGTTTCCTCCCCAGCTGGTTTTCCTTGCTGTTTTCTTCCCAAGAGAGGAATTTTCATTACAAACACTATCAAGCTTAAGAGACTGCTGATGAATTCAGCAAAGTTTACACTGCCGAAGTGACTGATTGTTTGATTTTATCTTTTTCTGCTTTATTACGTCTGTCAAGGGGTTGATGAAGTTCCTCAAATCTTGCAGCAAGGCTTCCAGAAGGGTAAAGTGAGAAGAATTAGAGAGGATATTGCAGATATGGTCCTGAAGTAACAGGGATTGAACAGGGAGAAATCCTGTTGCTAAGAGACAGGGGATGGGAAAGCAAGAGAGACTCTGCTTGTTTTAAGGAGGTTCATTAAGCAACATTTCTTAATTTACAGATAACACCCAGCAACAACAAAAGCGTGCCTCTGTTAAAGACTGGGTGAAACATTTAATAAATATATTTAAACACTTATGTGAAGTAAGTGTCTTCAAGGCAGACTAAATTAAAAGCATCTTGGAAGATCTACAGCCACTCTGTGCCATCCACCACGCCAGATCCTTGGATCAAAATTACAACCCAAAGGCTGTTTCATCTGAGTGGGGCTGAAAAGCTCTGAAAAGGCTGCTGGGTGACAGATGACTCCCATGGTTTCAACTCCTCACCAGATTTTTTTACTTTGTAACTTTTCCAGGAAGCTGAAGAAGTGTCAAAAGATCCAGCAGAAGGGTGGAAGGAACAGGGCAGGAATGAGGAATGGCTGCCTGAAGCTGGGCTCTGACCAGAGGGGCAGCACCAATGCTAAGGCAGAGCAAGATCAAGAAAACAATGGCCCAAGCATGGTGCCAATTTATAAATAATCCAAATTTATAAATAATCAGGCTCAATCAATCAAGAGGCTGCTTTTTTCCTGCAGTGGGATCCCAAACTCTGCACCTCTGGCTCAAAGCAAGCTCGTGGCTCACATGGTCTCACATCTGAACCCAGGGCACAAGGGGAGAGAGAGGAGAGGATGGATCCTGCTCTGGAGCCAGCTTGGGAGAGCTGGGGGGGCTCACGTGGAGAGGAGAAGGATCCAGGGAGAGCTTCCAGCACATTGCAGGGGCTCCAGGAGAGCTGCAGAGGGACTGGGGACAAGGGACAGGAGCCAGGGAATGGCTGCCAGTGCCAGAGGGCAGCCATGGATGGGATCTTGGCCATGAGGAATTGCTGGCTGGGCTGGAATTGCCAGAGCAGCTGGGGCTGCCCCTGATCCCTGCAGTGCCCAAGGAAGGGTTGGAGCAGCCTGGGACAGGGGAGGTGTCCCTGGAATGAGCTCTGAGGTCCCTTCCCACCCAAACTGCTCTGGGATTCTGGGATTTGGGACACTCAGAATCCATCCCCAGGGATTTTTATGGAAAATGGGGATGGAAAAGAGAAGAAAAGGGAAAGGAGACCCTTCATGGTTCCCTGAGATTCCCAGTGAAGCCCCTGGGTCCATGAATGTCCTGGAGAGGAGATGGATCCAATGTCAGGCTGGGAGAGCTGGGAATGTTCCCTGGAGAAGGGAAGGCTCCAGGGAGAGCTTCCAGCACATTGCAGGTGCTCCAGGAGAGCTGCAGAGGGACTGGGGACAAGGGACAGGAGCCAGGGAATGGCTGCCAGTGCCAGAGGGCAGCCATGGATGGGATCTTGGCCATGAGGAATTGCTGGCTGGGCTGGAATTGCCAGAGCAGCTGGGGCTGCCCCTGATCCCTGCAGTGCCCAAGGCCAGGCTGGACACTGGGGCTGGAGCAGCCTGGGATGGTGGGAGGTGTCCCTGCCATGGCAGGGGTGGAGTTGTGGACCTTTAACAAGTCCCTTCCAACTCCAAACTATTCCACAATCCTCTGACAATGAACACCAAGAAGATCAAACAGTGTTTTTTTCTCTCTCATACACACTTCTTTCAATTAAATGTGAACAAGTTACAGGACAAGCAACTAAAAACACCCAGAATGCAGTAATTAAACAAAAAAAAAAAACCCAAAACAAACATCAAAAAAAACCCCAAAAAACAAAGATAAAATAAAGACATTTCAAACACCAATTGGAATTTAACAACTGGATGCAGAACCGTTCCTGCTGAAAGCTCTGCTCCATCACAGACCTTTCACCCCACAGAGCTGCAAAGGACTTTGTGGCTGCAGGCCTGGTCTCTGCCCACTCTGTTATTGTTATTTGTTATTCTCCAAAACCCACAGCAAAACTCAGGCACACAAAATGAGCTCTTTGGAAACAGAGCTGTAAAAAAACCACTGGAAATGCTACAGGAAGAAAACCTTAGCCTGTTCTTTTTTTTAAAAAAAAACCCTAAATATCTTGTTTGTCTGAGTTCAATGCAGACATTTCCCAGCCTCTCAGAGGACAGGTCCTGTCATGAGGCTGCACCCTCTTTGTAAGCAGCTTGTAAATTATTCTTAATATCACACAATGAACACCCAAGAGGGAGGAAATGGAGCTGCAGCCAAATGTGAGGACAGCATTTAGGAGGAGTAAAAGCAGCAATCTTGCTGAGAACTCTGCCAGCACACTGAGACAAACTCTTCCATTTTCCAAAGAGCAAACCAATTTCCAGCATCCTCAAATAGTCAGGACATTGATTTACATCTCTCACAAACAAGAGCAAAGCGAGCAATTCGATATCTGGGAGCTGCACAGGGCTCTGGAGGCTCTGTCAGATCTGGGAGTTTGATACCACAGTGGGAAGCTGTTTTCAGTGTGTTCCCTGCACATTGTCCCTATTAAACAGCAGCCCTGGGTGGCTTTGGGGGCCCATTTATCTGTGAGATCTGACAAGATCCCAACCCTGGGGCCAGTTCATCTCTGAGATCCAACAAGATCCCATCCCTGGAGCCCATTAATCTGTGAGATCTGACAAGATCCCAACCCTGGGGCCAGTTCATCTGCGAAATCTGACAAGATCCCAACCCTGAGGCCAATTCATCTCTGAGATCCAACAAGATCCCCACCCTAGGGCCAGTTCATCTGTGAGATCTGACAAGATCCCAACCCTGGGGCCAGTTAATCTGTGAGATCTGACAAGATCCCAACCCTGGGGCCAATTAATTTGTGAGATCTGACAAGATCCCAACTCTGGGGCCAATTAATCTGTGAGATCTGACAAGATCCCAACTCTGGGGCCCATTCATCTGTGAGATCTGACAAGATCCCAACCCTGGGGCCAGTTCATCTCTGAGATCCGACAAGATGCCGACCCTGGGTAACTGTCCTGTCCTTTTCTCATGTCTTTCACACTTCAAACATCCTCTCCTGCCATTTAATGTCATCAAGGGGCTGTTTGACCACAAAGCTTTGGCCCAGGAACGAGCTCCTCCTGTCCCCTTCCTCTTCCAGAAAGGCACCAAAGCACCTTTATTAAGGATTTCAGCTGGAAAATTGCAGCCCCACGTGCTGCTAGAGGAGTCCATGGGTGAGAAAAGCTGTCCTAGAGGTCAGCTCTCGGAAGGAAGAGCTGTGTCTGTATTTACTCCTGAACTGGGATTTTGAATAATTCTGTTGTTCTTTGGGATGGAGAAGTTCTTCCGAGTTTTGATTCTTGGAAGGAAGTGGGTTAAACCCCTAAAAGCTGGGCCACGTGTAACCTCCAGAGTTACAGAGGGGGGAGTTTCCTGGTCCCTGCTCTGATGATGCCCTGCAAAAACCTCCGTTCCACCTGGAATTCATTTGCTCAGCACTGCCTTTTCCCAAGGAACCGAAGCTTTTTAACAGCTCCGTTCTGATCCCTAAAAAGCCAACTTTGGGAACTCATTTAAGCAAAGCAGCTGAAAAAAAAGGGCTCTTGGGTCTTGTTTTTCATTCCAGTGAACAGCCAAAATTTGCTGCTCCTCATTATGAAGGTTTCATTATCCACAGGCTTTTATGGGAGTCTTGTAAAATGTAATATACTATTTTCCATTATTTATGTCCTTCTGGTGATATCCTTTGTACCTTCAGTGCTTCCAGAGAAAAGCACACGAGCTCCTGGTGGCCCAAAGGCATGATTTCAGATTTGAAGGAATATCTCCTGCTAATTCCTGGTGCTGAATCCTCGTTCTGACACATTCATGGAGCTACAAATTGGCAGTTCCTGCAGAAATGGGTCCTTGGAAGATTTGGGGAATTTTCTGCTCTGCATCACCACCAAACCCAGAAAAAAAAACACTTGAAAATCCTCCTAATCTATACAAGCATCAAAATGAAGTCTCCAAATAAAAAAAATAAGTGAACTGTAGCCAGTTATTTGATGTTGGGACCACACACAGGAAAAACTCATGAAATCACAAAGAAACAGCAATTATGTGTTACTTTCCTGGCTTTCACCACACAGATCTAAAAATCTCCTTTCCTTCCCCAAACACATCCCCAGATCATTCAATTCTAACAAAAAATGATAAAGGCAATTTACCCAGGCCATGAGAAGAGGAATCTTTTGAAGATTTATTGAGCCCATTGGGAGTAGAGGCACCTGTGACAACCAACTGGCACAATGGCATTTTTTAGATTCACCTTGAAAATTGGATTTTCCAAGCTCTGGCTGCTGCAGGGATTCTGCAGGAGCAGCTTTGGGGTCTCCACATGTGGAGAAACCTCTGATTCTTGAAAAGGAGAGCCAGGAGCAGTTCCTAGACCTGACCTTGGAACCACCACACTGCCTGGCCCTGTAAACTCTTTTTGCTCCAAAAGAACATTGAAATAAATTAGCAATTCAGCTTAAAATCTACATATGCCACCCACAGCAGTATTTATTGGAGTCACCAGCTCATCTTCTGCTGGATTTCCAAGAAGTATTGTCCCAAATTTCCCAGGAAAGGGCACTCTTGTGTTTGTGAGCAGGTTTTAGAGTTCCAGGAAGAGCCTGGCAAAGCAGGAACCTTCCTAAATACCCTTCAGAGCACAGAAAGTTCAAGCAGAGAAATATAAATTCATTTCTCTGAACTGGCATGAAGGGAAAGTGTTACTGGTGAACTGCCACATCTCCAATCCTCAGGTGAGCATTTCCAAAGGGTTTGTTTATTTTACGTGCTGCAGGAACAGCTTTAATTTCCTTATAAAGATTCTACAGCACAAGGTAACATCTCCTCTGGGAAGGGAGAGCAGGAAGGACTCCAAATTTTGGCATCTTTGCTGGGATGGGATGAATGAGTCAGTGCTTTAGAATGACACCCATTAATATGCACAGACACTTTGTTTCATCAATAAAAAGCCAAAGAACTTAAGTGACTACAGGCAGAAACAGCTTTTGTTATGCACAGGCATAAGTTTGAAATTCTCTGCTAGTTGTGCAGTCCTGGAAAAGGCTACTTTTAAATAAAATTACAGGGAAAAAAAATCTACATAAGTACATTGTGCACTTGAGGCAGAACCATATGCATATTTTATGCAGATCAAATGTTTTCTGTTAGAATCCACATCTTTGCCAGGCTGAGGGACACTTGCCCAGCACTTCACTGAGTGATGCAGAGCACAAGGAGGAGCCAAGGAAGAGATTTTCTGGTGCACTGGGTGAGAAGAGCAAGAAGAGATTGCTGTAAAAAAGATCAGGAGGGGCATCTCCTGCTCTGCTCCCCAGCCATGAGGTGGGAGATCCACATCAGCTCCATAACTTCAGGCCTTTTGGGTTTTATTACTACACAGAAGAGCAATATTTTAGGGGGAGAAAGTAGCAGACACTATAAATATCACTGAAAATGAATATTTTAACATTTAGAGGGGTTGGAAACTAGATGGTCTTGTAGTTCCCTTCCAACCCAAACTATTCTATTTCCAGTGCTGAGGCTGGGATTCAGGTTTTTGTGGTTTATTTCTTCAGTTCCTCAAAATCCTGTGATCTTTTGCAAGAAAACTGAACTGAACTTCCCACTGATCACAGAGCAGAACAGGAATTCTTGAGTTTTTCCCTCAGAATTTTCATATGGTTCCACTCTTCCAGATTTTGAGCGACCAGGTTGCAGTTTCCAGCTCTGGAAGTTTGTGACTCCTCACAAACCTCCAGGACACAAAAAACCAGCCCCAGGCTCCAAGAGCAGAGCTGAAGAACAAAACCCCACCAGGAGCAGAAGATAAGAGTAATCAGACAGAACAATCTGGGAGGCAAGTGTGACAAAACTAGAAACAAAAGGACAAAAGAATTAATAAGGCTGGAAAGAGAAGGAAATATTCTCTGCATTGGAGGAATACTGAAACAGGTTTGAAAGGGGGAAGAGACTGGAGGTCACTTCTGTATTATTCATCAAGGACAACCCCACTTATTAATCTCCTGAAACAATACAAAGATTAATTTCCCCTCTCTGCAGCCCTTCCAAAGCCTCAGACAAAAGAGTTTTCCTTGGTGTTTGTTGCAGTAACAGGAATAAAAGATCAGCCCCAGATTATTCCTGTGTACAGCCAGACCTTTAGTCAAAGTTACAAAGCTCCCACAAGGAACAGATTTGACCTTTTGGCTCCCAGACAATAAAAAACTTCAGAAATATCTACACAAACCTGGCAGCCTGCAGTAAATAATGCTGAGGAAACCACACAGAATGAACACACTGCAAATCTCTGCTGCTCAAGATATCAAGAACACCATCAAGGTGAGAACAGGCACAGGGAACTGAGTGTATTTAAGAAGCTGGTGAGGGTTAGGAGAGGGAAAAGCTGATTTTCCATGAGGAAAAAAAGCCAAATTCTACCCCTGGACACAACACCCACTCGTTTTGTGACACTGCACAAAATCACCTCCCAGGTTTTTGTCTCCCCTGAGCCATGAGGGGATGATTTGCCTCCTTCTACTCCAGCAAAATCAGATGAAAATCTACACATGAATATATAAATATCTGGCTTAAATACTCACTGCTGGAGCTCCCAGGAGTAGTGAACTGGGAAGTCTCAAGGAATTTCCGAGGTGTAGATAAATTAGTGACATCCATCAGAGGCACAGGAGAGGAGTCCTTCACAAGGGACCTGTGGGAGGGGAAAGAATTAAAGCAAACAGTTGATTATTATTTACAATGTTTGTTTACAACAAATAATCCACTTATTCTTTACATTTTAAGCCCATGAAGCAGATTAAGCCTAATAGATGTTCCCATTTTCATGCCTTCTGTCAACTTCTAATCCTCCAAACTTCTTTATTCCCTGCAGAAACCTCCACCCTTTTCTCCTGCCCTTCACATTCCTTTGAGCCAACCCATGTACATCCCTTCCCAAATGAACCTCCTTACTCAAAAATGAAAATATTTTCAAAATTCACATTATATTAGTTGGCAAAAATGTGTCACACTGCCCCAGCTGCTGGACATGGCAGGGGGACACAAGCAAGAAATCATTTTTAGGAGAAAGAAATGTGGAAAGCTCCTACAGTGGAGCTCAGGATGTTTGATTAGAGGTCAAAATGCTCATGGAAATGTGAAAAAACAAGGGTTAGGCTTGGTATCCTGCAGAAGAACCACCCAAACAACAAGCCACCCTTGCTGCAAGAGCTCCTTTTATCAAATATCCATAACGTGCATCAGGGAAAGTGAAAAAAAGAGAATCCAGAGTGAGAGGAAGGTCCCTGCAGCAGCCACAAAAGTGCAATTAATTAACAGTCCCCCAGTCTGGGTACACCAAAGCTTTGTGGCTGTCTTTAATTAAGATGAGTAAGGAAGAGACTGATGACTTGCTAGCAACTCTCCTTCCTAGAAATTTCAATTGCAACCAAGCCTTTCTTCCATAAATTCATTTAATGCAACTGGATATCTTGCCTGGCATTTTTGGCAAGCAGATTTTTATCCATTCTCACAATAAAATGCTCATTTATCTGTTCTCTGCATCTCTATTGAGTGCTGGCTCCCCTTTTGCTCCCCACCTCTCCTACTCTGCAAAAATTACCTCCCAAAACTGCCTCTCTCCTTTCCAGCCACTTTCTTCCTTGTCTGCAACAACTCAGAATTTGCAAAATCAGGAAAAAATATCCTATATTAACTGAATTTCCACTGACCACAGGCACCAAGCAGGTAAGAAGTTTCAACACCTTTAAAACACCTTGGGAACACATCAAAACCAACACATTTCAGCTCAGACACTGAAGTATTGTGGCCTCCATCTCGTCACCTTATGGTTGGGCAGGAGGCTTTTAAAATTTGGGTGTTTCCTACAAAATGAGCAGCTTTTCCCTGACCTGAGCCTCATGACCATGATATTTGTAGGAGAGGGATAAGATCAGGCAAAGGAGAGAATGCACAAAGGAGCTGTGGGAAGCAGCAAAACCCCAAGAGAAAAGAAAGAGAGCTGAGAAAAGCAAAAGAATGGGCTCGGAGGTGCAGAAAATCTGAATTTTCTGCTCTCCAGAGCCACAGTGCTGAGGGATTGCCATGTGTCTTGGCTTGGAAATGGGGGTGTGTGTAGTTTCATTTCTTTTTGTACTATTGCATTTGTATTTTAAATTTTCCTAGTAAAGAACTGTTGTTCCTGCTCCCATATCTTTCCCTGAGTGTAGCCATGATATTTTATGAAAAATCCTCTGCTAGGATTTTTCCCTTTTGATCTTCCTCTCTCTCTGTTCTTTTAGCCTAGTTTTAATGTAGTATTTTAATATAATATATAACATAATAAATCAGCCTTCTGAGGAAAATGGAGTCAGGCCTCGTGTCCTCACACACGGGAGGATCGCCGCAAGACCTGAGAGCCCCTTAATTCCAAAATTACAATAATTCAGAGGGAGGGAGTTTGCATTTTCCATTTCAGGGGAGGCTCCTGCCTCCCTCAGCAGACACCTGGCTTTCCAAACCAAGACAGCACGGCAGTTTGGGGCAGTTTGGGGCTGGGGCCGGGGCGGCTGTCCCACCCGAGGCGGGCTCTGTCCCTGCCACGCTGCCCCACGCGGTTGGTGGATCTGATGTAGAGGTGCCGGTGCAGCTCGTCGATCAGCACCAGGTGCAGGTTCATCTTCTTGCTGTGCAGCTCCAGCCTCAGGTCGCTCAGCCCCTCCACCTGCAGGAGGGGACCCTCCAGGGAATCCACTGCTGACACCTGGGGGGAAAACGGGACAGTTTTTACACATCCGTTCGTTCGGCTCTCGCCGTCAATTCATTCAGTTTTGCAATTTTCCGTGGCAGCCACTTTTTCTGGAAAAATTCCTTCACCCTGGATTCTTTTCCTGGGATGCTGAGAAGCCTCAGAGAACAAGGAAAACAATATTATCTGATTTGCTTCTCCTGTGTTTTGCTGCTTTGGAATGTGGTTGGAGATTGTTTTATTGGTTTCATGTGAATTGTTTTGACTCATTGGCCAATCAGTGCCAAGCTGTGTCAGGACTCTGTAAAGAGTCACAAGTTTTTCATTATTATCTTTTAGCCTTCTGTCTATATCCTTTCTGTATACTTTAGTGTTCTTTAATATAATATAGATCATAAAATAATAAATTAGCCTTCCGAAAACACAGAGTTAGTTTCATCATTCCTCCCTCCCTCCCGCAAATACAATAATTTTCCTCTTGGATTAGGGAAGTGTCCGAATCCCAGGATGATTCTAGCCTTAAAACCCTTCTAAAGCAGAAAATCTTGAAGTAATATTTCTTTATTTCTATTCCCAAATAAATTATATAAGAGTCCAGCATCCAAATGATTCAGATTTAATGCGCAGCCTTCAAATATTAAGCGTATGTATAAAACAAGTTAGTGAAAACACAGTTCTTAAATAAAAATCAAAGGATGGTTTATTCCCAAATAAGAGGATTATTAAGTAGAAAAGTGTTAGAAGAAGATAGTGACAATAGTGTTTGATGGTTGCTATTCTTTCCATTACAGAAACACCAAAAAAACCCATTATTCCAAATTCTGCAAATGGGGAGAAAATGGCTTACATTTAATTTGTTTAAACTCATGACTGAAAAAGCTTAGGAGCCCTCATCCTTTAGGCTGCACGAGGGCCATGTCCTGTGGCTGCACCATCTGAATATCTGAAATAATGACCAGCTGCCATCCCATGGGCACAGAAATTCCCTAATTTTCTTTTCCATCCTAAAAATAAACGTGGACAAAACCCAAACACAGACAAAACCCACCAGGAATGACAAATCAGTGCCTAAAAGCAACACTCTCACTGTGCATCCCTCCCAGTTGGTTTCCTATTTAACAGAGATTTCCAGTCACTAATAAATAAATTATGTCATCCCTCTGCAGCTTCCAAACTCTCAGTGCTGATGTTGTAAGAAACTGGAAAGAGCATGTTTGGCATGCAGAGGTTTAAAATAAAATTTAAAAACCCATTCCCTGCTAACTGAGGATGCTGTCAGTGAAATAAGACATTTGCTTGCACTTCAGCATCTCGGTTCAGAACAAACCTGTCAGCCAAACATTAAAAATTAAAAGCAAAGATACAGTGAGCAGCCAGCCCAGCCAAGGGCTGCTCCCTCAGTACCAGTAAATATTAACTCTGCTGAAAGAACATCCATCACCAGTGTGCTCCTTTGCTGGCCTCCAAGCCCAGGACAAAACTGGAATATCCATGGGACAGCCAGGCTTTTAAAATCAATTTTTAAATCTCCTCACTTGCCACACTACACTGTCCATCCTTTTTCTTTCCCTTATCCATCTGTGGGAACATCACACATCACAAAACCACCCAAAAATGATGGGAAAACCCAATTTCCTTCTCCCCAGAAGAGCTGGCAGAGCTCACACGAGTGGAGGAGCTCACCAGAGACCACGTGGGAAACTCAGGCAGAAATGGAAATGTTAATTCCTCTCCTCTTCCTTTGGCAGTGTAGCTTTTTCCCCAAATTTCCCCATTCCAAAGGCTCTCTACTAAAAGAACATCCATCACCAGTGTGCTCCTTTGCTGGCCTCCAAGCACAGAAAAAACTGGAATATCCATGGGACAGCCAGGCTTTTAAAATCAATTTTTAAATCTCCTCACTTGCCGCACTACACTGTCCATCCTCTTTCTTTCCCTTATCCATCTGTGGGAACATCACACATGACAAAACCACCCAAAAATGATGGAAAAACCCAATTTCCTTCTCCCCAGAAGAGCTGGCAGAGCTCACACAAATGGAGGAGCTCAGCAGAGACCACGTGGGAAACTCAGGCAGAAGTGGAAATGTTAATTCCTCTCCTCTTCCTTTGGCAGGTGGAGTTTTTTCCTTAAATTTCCCCATTCCAAAGGCACCCTACTGAAAGAACATCCATCACCAGAGTATCAATTTGCTGGCCTCCAAGCACAGAAAAAACTGGAATATCCATGGGACAGCCAGGCTTTTAAAATCAATTTTTAAATCTCCTCACTTGCCGCACTACACTGTCCATCCTTTTTCTTTCCCTTATCCATCTGTGGGAACATCACACATCACAAAACCACCCAAAAATGATGGGAAAACCCAATTTCCTTCTCCCCAGAAGAGCTGGCAGAGCTCATACGAGTGGAGCTCAGCAGAGACCACGTGGGAAACTCAGGCAGAAGTGGAAATGTTAATTCCTCTCCTCTTCCTTTGGCAGGTGGAGTTTTTTCCTCAAATTTCCCCATTCCAGAGGCACTTGAATTCCCCCCCCTGTTTCTTCAGGGGAGCTGCAACTGCCCTGGGAGCTGGGCCAAAAATCCCACCAGAGCAAGGAGCAGGAGCAATATTTATCATACTGAGAAACTAAGAGACAAAAAAGCAGCCAGAAAAGAAGAGAAATCCAGAGCAAAGTAACACTAGAAATAATTCCAAGACATTCAGGAAAAGTTTTCTCTGAAACACAAAGAATGGGAATTTAAATTTTCCACTCAGCTCTGTTTTTGTCTTGCCAGTTCCTAAAGAGTTCACTGCTCACCAAAAATATTAAGGCCAAAATACAGTTCTGAAGGACATATTTTAAAGAAAAAAAAAATGGAATATTCAACCATTTATTGTACTCATGTTTATGGAAGTCAAAGGAAGGTCTCCAGTTGGTTTAGATGGTAATAGAAATATTATGCTAAAAAACAAACCAAACATTTTTCCTTTCTGTAGAAATGTTTTCCTTCCTTTTGTTTACAGAAAGATGATTTAGGTCCTGGCAAAAAAAAAGCAGCACCCAAGATTATAGTCCAAAATAAAAAATATGAGATTAAAACCTTTGTGTGCTGGATAAACCAGCCCAGAACAGCAAAAACAACCAAAAGGAAGCAAAAACATTTTTTAAAATGCACAAAATTAAATATACACTAAAGGCAGATCAACAGTGGAACTTTAGAAGGAACTTTTTTGACTTTATGGCCCCACTCAGCCCAGAACACACCAAAACTTGGGTTATGCAGGAGATGCCAATCAGCTTTCCCTGGTTTTTAACTCTCCCATCAGCTGCTGGCTGCATCCAAAAGCACTAAAAGATGTGGAATTGGACAGAGAGAGGCAGAGTTATCCTGCAGGACTTCAGTTAATACTGATAAGGGAAAAGCAGCCCAAGAAATCCTGGAAATGAGATGTACAGGACTCCAAGTGGTTCCAGGCTCCAGAAAAAGCAGCTGATGATCCTTCCTGGCTCTTTTTTCTATACACACAGCTCAGTTAGACAGAAATAAAGTGATTTTTGTTTGTTTTTCTGCAGGGGGATCACGGCATTGTGTTAGACTAGCTGGGCACAAAGGATAATTACAGGTAAAAAAGCTCCCCCACATGAATCTTTTGGCAGGGGCTGGGGTGCAGAGAGGAGCCACAGCAACACAGAGCAGCTGGAAAAGGAACCAACAATAAACAAGTTGTTATTCTTGTGGAAAAAAACTGCTTTACAATGAGCAAATTGTACCAAAAGAATGGGCAGTGCCCACCAGCACCTCCTTTAATTCTGGAATTCAGCTCCCTCTCCCATTGAAAGCTGCTCATGAACACACAATAAGTGTAATTTAGTCAAACGCTAATTAAAATATTGGCCTGGATTAGCAGAGAATTTGGCTTAGATGATCTGATAGCAATTCCTGATGTTCAAATCTTCTTATCTCTCTCCACTTATTAGTACCTACAAAGAGCAAAGACCCTTTAGGAAACAGAGATGAAATAAAGCTGAAAAAAGAGCTGTGCTTTGTATAAGCTAAAAATTGCAAGTTTATAGAAAAGAACCGTGGCACCAGCACCATTAGGCAGCTTGTTTAAAGGTCACAGGCAGTTTATAGCAGGGCTTAATTGCCTTAAAAAGAAAACACTGCTAAACACTTGCTCAGTGCAAGAGGAAATTTGGAAGGGTTTAATTCAGCATTTTACAACAAACGAGAACCTACGTGCTAACAAGGTATTTGTCAAAAATTCTTTCTTTCCTGACTTCAGCCAAAGTTTCCCAATCTGCTTACAGTGAAATCGATTTATTCCCTCAAGGGTTCTGCTGAACCCCCACAGGCCTGGAAGTGAGCAGAGATAAAGAGAAAAGTCTCATTTTTTTTTCCAGGGAGGGGAAAAAAACCAAAATAATGATAGAATCATAAAACCATGGAATGGTTTGGGTTGGAAGGGACATTAAAGGTCACCCAGTCCCCATGGGCAGGGACACCTCCCACTGTCCCAGGGTGCTCCAAGCCCTGTCCAACCTGGCCTTGGACACTGCCAGGGATCAGGAATCCACAGCTCCTGTGGGCAACCTGTGCCAGGGCCTCACAACCCTCACAGGGAAGAACTCCTTCCTCAATTATTAATTATTTTACTAGAAAACCAAATCCTTTCTAGCTGGGAAACCAGTCTGTTCTGAATTTGGACAACAGATATGAAAACATGAACACACAACTGAGAAAGGTTTAGAGGAAACAATGTAGTAGGTCATAATTCCAGATTTTAAAAAGTCATACACAAACACAAAATGACAAAAGGGAAAAAGCTGAGCCCTCAGAATAAAAGAGTAAATAAATAAGCAACAACCCAGAAGGTTCCAGCTGCCTCGCTGGTGAATACAACAACGCTGACATTTAAAAGGAGAATTGATCTGCTGCTTTTACAAGGGACTCACTTTCACAAGGTACAGGAAAGGAAAATGACTAAAAAAAAGCTTAAATAAGTGCAGGCAGATCTAAACAAGCAGGTCACT